AACAATTAGTTACTTATTTTCGAGCTATACGTGTCAGTCGGAAAAAAATTACTATAATTTAAAATTGTAAGAGTAAAATTTTGCAATTTAAAATTAAGTAATTTTCTTTTTTTATTATTTATGTACGATTAAATTATTTTTTAAATTGTCTTTATTCTTAACGAGACGTACAAGAGGTTGATCCCTTGTTGTACGATAAAGATGAAGATAATTTGGCAAAGCAATACTTGTGTGAGCAGTAAAGAAAATCAGTTGAATGACTTTGCTCCTGGTGACAAAGTTAACGATGCGCAAAAGATTGTGAGAAAATCAAAAGAAATAGAGAGGAAAAGATAGAGAGAAAAAGTTGTGGAGCTGTAATGCCATGCATTACGCAGCTCCAACCAATTGGTTGTTGAGAGTTCGGTGTTGTTGAGCGAGGGTGGTTGCAGGAGCCTGTACGGAGGTCTATCCGCGGGACTCCAGAGACAGATGTGTTTCGCCAGCGTACGCTTGGGCCTCTACGACAGCGTCAAGACACTCTACGCTGGAATCATCGACGGTATTTCCTGATGACTACTAAGACTCTGCAAAGAGTTTTGTTAACAAAAATCCAGATAATTGAAAAAAATGAGCAAAGAATGCATACCGATTGGTTATTTTCATTTCCGCGCTTTCTACTATTATTATCTAAAAGTGAAAGGTCAGCTTGAAACTGTGAATTTAATTTTTTTGTCTTTTTAAATTAGTTTTTTTTTTTTTTTTTTTTTTTTTTTTCACAGTTTTATCAAGAAACGTTGGAAACAGACGATGAAAAAGAAGACAAGAGCAAAGCCAAAGCAGACGATGAGGCTGCAAAAGAGATGGAAGTGGATTTGGAGGACTCGAAGAAATTGCAGAAAGAGTCGAAGGACGAAGATAACGACGAGCATGATAGAAGTCGAAGTAAGTGCCAACAAAATTTGGTGGTTGAAAAAAAAAAAAAATCTTCAAATGACTGTTTGTCTAATGAGTTGTTGGTTTGATTGTTGCAGCTCCGACGCCGGATAATGAATTTGACGACGAGAAAGGCTCGGACTCGCTCGAAGACCCCGCAGCTGCCGTAAGCGAAGCTCTGAGCAAAGAAGAGCCGGTGACGGTCGACTCGCGACCTATTAGAGTTTTAAAGAGTGTTTTGCTACTTCAAAAGCGCAAGGGGGCTAAAAAGACATTAAAGTGGAAGACCGATCTGGAGTCAATTCGGTACTTTGAGCTCGACGAAACTGAGCGGGTGAACGTCACGAAGTCGTCCTTCACCGACATGAAGCTGCTAGACAAAATGAACGAGCACGAAGCTTTCCAGATGGCCAGAAAATTAAGTAAGTTTATTCGCCACATGGATATAAAAAGACAAGAATTTTATTTTTATGCAAGTATGAAGTACTAAAAAATTATATTTATTACTTGCAGATGGCGAAGACGTTATGGAGGAGAAAACGATGTGGAAGCCATTGATACCGATAGACACGCCCCCAGCACTTGTAGAGCCCGGAAAAGACAGTCGAGAAAAAGACATACAGTACGCTCGAGAAAAGGGAATTCTTCAAGCTCTTTACTTCCACCGTGGCATGTAAGTTTAATTTTTAATATTTCGATACATATAACGTACAAATTAATTTTTATCAATATAATTAACGAATAATTTTTATGCTTAAACAGGATACCGGAATCTGCTGCAGAACCTGATGAAGAACGCCACCATATTTATATAGATCCGAAAATTATTCCACTGGACGATTTAACAGGCAACAAGGAGAGCGAAAAAGATTACTCTAATGTGCCGTGGCCGGAACCGAAGCCTCAGCCAGCTGTCTCAACGACCAGCGTGCCCAGCTCATTTTTCCAAACATTCCGACCAAACCACACAATCAACAATATTTCCCCGATAAGTGTGCCATCGCAGATAAACGCGATGCCTCAGCAAATGATCAGTCCCATGGCACCCGAAATACCAAACTCATTGCCCCCGATAAGCAGCGGTGGTGGTGGTGGTGGCTGGAGAACAGGAGACGGCAAAATTGTGGTTCCCGATCCCAGTATAACGCCGATGCCCAGCATGAATGCGACTTATCCCCAAGGCATGGACGTTGTTGCTCCCATGGCATCTCCTAATATGATGAGTGCACCCATGTATAATCAGGAGGGCTACGTTATGGCACCCGATGAGATGAATTACAATTATAATCAGGGTCCGCATGGACCGAACATGTACGGGCCTGGAGGCCCACCGCCATCTGGTGGACCACCCGGACCGCCACCGTACCAAGGACCGAGGGGCCCGCCGATGCATGGAAACCGAGGAAGAGGGGGTCCTGGCTGGTTTAGAGGAGGTCCACCTCGTGGCATGCCCTGGAGAGGAGGCTGGAGGGGCAACAACAAACAGCAGTCTATTTGTAGACAGTTTAAGGCAGGACACTGTCGCATGGGTGACAAGTGCCACTTTTTGCATCCTGGACAAAATTGCCCACCGTTCTAAAGTTCGAATTTTATTTGAAAGCTTTGTTAGTATCTAACTGCTTGTTGAACGGTGGTTTAACCACACTCTCTAATGTGATAGTGCAGTCTTGGATGATGCACCTCCTTTTTTTCACGGCGTTTCATAGTTTTAAGGGAGCACACGCTGATGACGGCTGATAATGACAACTTGTCTACTACAACAATGTTATTGGCTGATTTTACTGGTTGGGAATGAAAACTTATTGATTCGTGAATGTTTAAGTGTAAAATCAGTGACCACGGTGAATTGATTGTGGATTTCTTATGAAATCCAATGAAAACGGACGTCGTTTTGTTGCTTATCGTATTTTGTAAATAATACAAATAAGTATTGCAAAATATCGAAAATAGCCAGTTAATTTTTACTTGTATATCACAGAGGTTTATTTATGCCAATAATTCTTGTATATACTGTAGAATTTTGTAAAAAAAAAAAAAAAACGACTAGTTGTAATTATATCAAGAGACTGTTTTACTGAGTCTACATGATGGAAAAATACTGGTTCAAGAACTGATGTACGGAAATGTTGAAAAAAAATTTGATAAGTATATTATGATTGCATAATAATTTTGATTACAGATGGTCCAAGTCAATGACAGTTTTAAAATATGTTGGCTGATATAAATAATAACAGTTTTTATAACTAATTACGGGAAATGGTTAATTTTGTACACAAATGATCATTATTGTTTGTAAATATAGATTTGTTGTAAATTAAATCCATTATAAATACACGCTACACATCATTTAAAATAATTAAGTCTTGTTATTTTTTTTTTTTTTGTATTTTTCAGTTAATGACAATTTATTAACAAAAATAATTTTTATTTAATATTATTCAATCAATCATTACACATATTCTTATATGTTATAAGCACCAGCATTATCAGCTATCGGTCCCTTTATCTTTGTGAATAACGCCTGTCATAATCATGTCTTTGCCAATTTTGATTACGTCCACCTCTGCCATGATGAGACCTTTGATTTCTACTTTCATAGTTGTCATCAACGATTGGTGGATTATTTATACCTGCCTCTTTAATTTTCATAAACTCTTCATCTTTTTCGGTGTAACGATCTTTAAACTCTTCTTCGCAAGATTGCAAAAAGCTTGGTGTTGATTCAGTCATTTTTAACTTACATAAGATTTAGGAGTTACAAGTAACGAGTTGACAACTAAAAATTATAAATGAAAAGTAAATTTTTGACAATAGTATGCCTAAAATCAATATCAAGTTCATACATACACTTAGCGCTTGCTAAATTATGAAGTTTAAGCATAAAAAATGCCTTACTGGACATATAATTAGTATTCAGTTGTGCAACTCCTAATGGTTCAAAGAGCCTAAAAAATAAATTTCAAGTAATGTCATTTAAATAAAATATAAAAATTTTGAAATCTTTAACTTCAATAATTACCATCCGTGATATGTTCTGCACCGTGGACATATACAAGGTTTCCAAGCGTAACCAGGGTACCAATTTTCTCCCATATACCACTGAAGAAAATTAATACCACATGTAAAAAAGGAAATTAGAGTTGAAGACAGAATATTTTAAATACAAGAATACCAACATCGTTAACTGGAACACATTCTGATTTCGTTAAAGTAATTGTATGAAACTTGATGTTGAATGAATTTTTCAAGATTTGTATGTCTACTCCTTTGCGTTCAAATAGAGTTTCATCCGGTATGACTTCTGCCTGAGGACTTAGATGGTTGATTATCTCATGATTACTAGCCAATTCATATCCGCAACGTCGGCACAAAATTGTATCTGTTTCTAAGTCTATAAAAAAGGTACATATACATTAGAGGTGTATAGTCTTAATACGTTTGTCAACATGAGGTGTTAAAATGAGGTTATATTATACAGCTGAGACAAATGCGTGAATTTCTTTTCAGCTAAAATTTCATACAAAATAAACAACAAAGTAATCTAGGATCATTGCGTAATACAATACGAAAAAATGTAATAACTAGATAAATGAGAGAGTGTACCTTTCTTGGGTTTTCGCGATACTAGTGAACTATCTGCTGCGTAAGCACCATTAATCGTCGAGAAAAAAAGAATAACGAGCAAAACGTAAGGAAGGCAATAAAAACTGTAATTCAGGCGTTTATTGGTCGACTGTTTGAAGTGACTTGAACAAAAACGACAATAAGTACAACAGCTCGCGTTTATTTTGTCGAGTCTCATATTACCGTGTAACTATTCACTCCCGGAAAATACGTAACTTGGAGCAATCATTCGATAACGCAAGACACAAAGAAAACACCAAAGTTCCGTAAAAAAAAAAAACAAACAAACTTTATCACCGCCCACGAGTTAATTTTTGACTAAACACCGTGAGCTCGACTCGACATTCAATCTACTTATTTATCGCAGAACTTTTTGTTGTGTGATTCGTTCTACCTATGACTCAACGACACACGATACCTACAAAGTATAAAATATACTGTCGACGTGTGCTTGATTTCAAATCGTGTCTGTTTTTGAATTTAAAGAAGTAAAACTTAAGTCATCAACATACCTTATAAGTAGGTATATTTTATCAGCAACGCAAACAGTCGAAAATAAAAGGGGGAGGTTGGAGCAAATATGATACGTGTGTGTGTATACGCTGTACAGAAGCTCCACCGGTACTGGCCGAACGAATGCCCAAGTGCCAGGTGTCGGGCACTAATTGAGGATCATACATCATAGTACTTACCAATTTCATTTAGACGATTTTTTTTTTATTCAATAGGGCTTCATCCACCCACGTATTTAAATATCTAGAGCGATGCGCTAAGCACGTTTGTCGGAGAAACTCGAGGGGTCGTGGGTTTGAACCCTGACCCTGACGAAAAATATCAACAACATTTCCTCGGGTTTTTCTGATAGGATAATTAAATACCCAGTATTCCAAAAAAATCAAAAACCCTTCGAAAAAGATTAATAAATATGCCCAAGAGCTTTCGGCACAAGTAAAATATTTTTGTTATTACGCATTTTATCTCTATTAACAAAATAAAATTGTTAGTAAAACAACTATTTATTCTGTAAAGATCAAAGTGTTGACAACTATCTATATTTTAGCCAAAATATTTGGAGCAAGTTTAATTTTTAAACTCCGTCTTTTATGTTCATTTTGAATTTATGCGCCTCTCTGCTGTTTCCGCCATTTTGCATGATGACGTCACAATTCGTTGCTGAAAAAAAACACGCGCGTGCCTGCTTTTATTATATACATATATTAGCATCCCCCATAAAACGGCGACGTTTTTTTAATTTATTCTACATATAAGTATACAAAAGATTAGTGTTTTGACGCGTAAAAAAAGTTCACTGCTAATACCACTTACACACATATACACAATCCAACAACAGCTGATACACGTCTGCTCGTCGAAAATATGTCCTATCCGGTAAGTCAATACTTTAAATTATCTTAATAGTATTACCACGTGTTTCTTCGATAACAATAATATCTGATATTAAATATTGAGTGAATAGAATTACTTAAAATACTTCATTTTTTAAAGTGTGTCTAAATTATAGTAAACAGTATTTTGATAGGTACCCAAGAAATATGTAATCAAATGAATAAAAAATTTTTATATAAATTTCATAGGGATACGCTTATGGAGCATCAGAAGATCCTAATCAAGTTAATCCACAAGTTCAACAGTGGTTTTCTTTGGCAGATGCAGATAATAGTGGTCAGATAACGGTTCTTGAATTGCAAAGAGTTTTAGCTAATGGACAAGGTGGAACGTTTTCCATTAAAGCAGTGCGTTTATTAATGGGTGAATATAAAAATCTCCAAAAATTTGTTTTTATTTAGTATGATAAAAATTGATTAAACGATGATCCTATTTGTAGGAATGTTTGCCAAGGTAAACAAACAGTCAATAAATTTGAATGAGTTTCAAGCTCTGTTTTGCTACGTCAATGCATGGTTGGGAGTCTTTAAAAAATATGATAGTGACAATTCGGGATCCATTCAAGAAAAAGAATTAGCTTCAGCTTTTGAGCAAATGGGTTACAGGCTTAGCCTGGATTTCATTAGCTTTTTAATGTCAAGAGATTGTTGTAACAATCAAGGGTCACTCACTGTTGATGAATTCATCGTATTGTGTGTGCAAATACAAAAATTCACAGGTAAACTTATATATATGTATGACTCTAATATGCGAGTTGCATTTAATAAATGTATACTGTGTACATAATATACATTTTTCAAAAATTTTAGATGAGTTCAGGGTCAGAGATACTGAGAGGACTGGTGTGATCAAAATTGGTTTTGAAGATTTTTTAAAAGTGGCTCTGAGTTGTGATGTTTAAAAATTCCCGATTCCAGTATTTTAAATAAGCTTTTATATTTTTTATAAATATTTTACAATGTTACCTAGCACTTTGACATAATTTATGGTGAAACCGAGTATTTTATACTGTACCTTTACTTTACATGTGAAACGAGAAATAATTTAAATACTTCCAGTTTATGTTTTATTTTTTTCATGGATAAATCATGAAAATTGTTTTTAGTTGATAACAAAGTGTCTGTATATTTGCTGATGTAAATACTAAATAAACAAATTTATTAAACTAAATGTCCTGAACAAGTTAAATTAAATTAAATAAAAAGTTTCTTGCCTTAGAAAACATGTCTCATAGATTTTCACTCTATTTTATACACTGGTTGCCAAGGTAACCAGTATCATATACAAAACTCTGTGGTACAAACTGATCGTTTCATTCAAAGAAAGTAATAATGGCTATATTAAATATATATTCCAGTAATGTTAAGTATTTGTACAGAGTGAGAGCCTGTTCAGTTAGTGCGATTGTTGTAATAATAGCGATGTTATTTAGTCTAGTGACACCATTATATTTTATTTATCATACAGGAGGTACGTTGTGTCAAAAAAAAATTTAATATTTTGGTTATTCATGCTGGATTTCTGTTATTTTACAATATCTTAGGTTTTTGGATTAGAACTCGAACTTATTGGGAAAAACCAAATGTTCACTTCAAACATAAATACTTTTTGTTGGCTGAGCGAGAAAACGCAAATCCAGTGATTTGTTCTACCTTTTCTCACTACAAAGATAATTTAATAAACGACGACTGTCACATTGTCAAGGTAACGTTCGACAATTTTAGAAAATAGAGTGGTCGACAAAAAGGTTTTTAAAAAAAAACACTACAAAGAAATGCGTTTTAATGACAGGTCAAAGAAGCTGATAACGATAAAAACACGATACAGGATTCTCTACACTTTGAAGCATCGTTCTTTACAAACAAGCCAGTAACGTCTGTCATGCTGTTATTGTTCTTCAATTATGAATTGAAGGTACGAGTAAAAAAGTTGTTTTGCCCGACAGAACTCTTGTAAAACTTGATGGTTTTTTTATCTAATTTTTTCAGGAACACATTCGGGTTGCGGTCGAAGCTATGACTGCAATTGAGCACACAGTGGCACACGAAGCTCAAGAATTGTACTTTGTAGGGGACTTGGCAATTCATCAAAATAGCGTTTTATTGCACGATGGGATTTACCATGCCGAGGATAACAGCACTGATCTCAATCGTTTTACTTTGCCCGAATTACTGATAGATAACGCAAATCGATTACGTACGATGGATTGCTTTTTAAAAATTACGTTTTTCTCTCAGCGTTAGTTTAACTGTATTTTACGTTTGCAGTTTCAGGTAGAGTATCGAACCTAAGGGTACTGCCCAACTTGGGATTTATATCAGACGAGCAGGTAACAATAAAGGCAGAAATTTTCTACGCTACCCAAGCAATAAAGTACCAGCCTGGATTCTGGGAGGAGATAAAATGGGCCTGGATGCAGTATCTTTCGATCTTTCTCGTCATCATTTACTTTGTCAGGAGGAGCTTGACAGGAATGTTTGCTGCCAAGAGCTTGAGGAGCTTCGTTTTGGTACCTTGGCAGCAAAAGTCTTGAACTATTTTTTTACATTTTGTACTTTTCGACCAAGTTTTTTTTTCGAAAAAAACAGTTTTGTTTTTTCTATAAAATTTTTAAAACGAAGTATTGTATCTACGTTTATTATTTGACCAGACAACTTGCTAATATTTTTACGAAACACATGATACATCATATATATATACCTTATCTTTTTATATGTGGCATATTATGTGCCAGTTTTGTAAAGAGGGACAGGACTGATGACAGGAGTTGAGGGGGGGGAGGTAAGTACTCCGTAACCTCTACACACCAGTCACACCACAGACTGACGGTACGTTACTATTTACTTTATACGTTGTAACGTGACGTCAAGTTGTGGCGTGGCGTAGTGCAGAAGTTACGGACAGATGCATAAACGAATTGAAGTTTGTTCATAAACAACAGTTAATATATGTATATACATTTATATGTGTGATTTATAGCTGCTCCGCTTGTAGTTAATTGTTATGCCCATAGGATTGCTTTTCGTTGTGATGTGCTGATTCTCTGTAGTCTGTTCTCTGCTGTATTTGAAAAATGTTCGAATGCGTAAGTGTAGTACTTGAGTATTGGTCCATTGTTTCTGTTAATTACTTACTTTTCCGGTGCGCCATTAACGTCATCAAGTTAAAAACAATTGCCTATACCTGTATATGTAACAGAACAATTGGCATGAAAATGGCCAAGCTTCTCTCTCTATCCACCTTCACTCCTCCTTATATTATTCAGCGTGTTAAGTATATTTTGACATCGTGTCGTCGTTGTCACCGTCGCGTTCACACACGGCCCTTTGTGTCAAATTTGTTTGAAAAAAAAAAAAAAAAAAAAGGTTGCGTTCGGGTTCATTGAACAGTTCTTTCTCTAAATTTAATAAAAGACAAGGGAAGGATATATATAAGTATAGTTATTTAATATAGTATATAAACATAGTATGAAACGAACGGTAAAGAACTCATTCAGGGGTCGGTTGTAAAATAAAATACGTTAACGCAATAAAATCAACGAGAGAGCTAAATGAGTGTATGTGTATGTATGTGTATACATATATATATATATATATATATATATATATACGTTTTGGTGCACAGATGGTTAATAATAAGCGAGAATCGCAAGGTAGAGCCAATTATTTGGCAAGTCGCTTACACCCGACTTTCAAATCTCGCGGCTTAGTGTGTGTGTGTGCAATTGGCAAAGGGTTTAAGGGTTGTGTTTTGAAGATTTGGATTTGGAGGGGGGAACGGGGGATTAGATAAATCTGTCTGTTCGTCCGTCAGCGTCAACATCTGTCATTTTCATTAACACTGCAGTAAACACTAATCAATCATATATTAAAAAAAAATCCATTTCGTTCATTTGGTTACAATTCGCGTTGAAATTCTCTCGCACTCCGCTTGTATTAAAACGCCAATTTAAGTAATAAAACTTTGATAGATTGCAACGGCATTTTTTCATTACCATTTAATAACCATTATTCCCATACGGATGGTGCACACACGCATTTATTTGTAGGTATGTAAATTGAAAAGAGTAGGTGATTTGAGAGAGAGAGAGCGCGCGCGCGGAGGAGCACATTTTAGCTTGGTTTTGTTTTTGTTGCGTCGCGGTGACTCCAGACAGAGAGTGTAAGTAGGCGTACAAACGGGCACATGCATTAAGTATGTGTATGCACGACAAAGAAGTGTGATGATACACTCTCTCATTCGTCTTCCTCTTGTTCTGCAGTGTCTTGACGAGCGTCGTTGCTGAAGCTCAGACGAGACGAACGAGCAGTCCAAAGTATAAGTTTAGTGTCAGTTTAGTTTACATCGCGAAAACGGCCAATATCGATACATAAGTACCTATCCCGTAGTACCTGATGTGTATACACTGCCAACAGTTACTTTGGTAACGCAAACTTAAAAATAATGTTGCTGCTCACCAACTTTTGTCATCTCTTTGCCTCGAGTTGAAAGCCTCTCTGTTTCTGCTGGTGCATTTCATTTTTGTACGTCTGACAGAGATACAATAGAGATCCACACTCCGCATGCAAGAGGTTAAACCCTTTTTCTTCTTCCCTTTCCATACATAAATATATCTGTTCATCTACCTTGTTATTTCAAAACTTTGTCTTCTCTTTCTTACTGACTCGTACTATACACGTTTACTGGATCTGGCTTTGTTTGCAGGTTCTCCTGAAAGAGCAATCAATTTGAGCAGAAAGCTGGGCCACCATATCTAGAATCATGAGTAGAGTATTCAAGAAGCTATTTCGTTCATCTGAAAAAATTAGCGAACAAGAAACAGCCAATGGCCTCTCTACTAATTCACCATCCCGGAGATTTCTTGGAAGACATCACAGATCTGATGTGGTCACACCAGAGGTGCCCGTGCCTGAAAAACCAAGCACCAGCCCGACAAACAATGCCAATTCCTTTTTCAAAGCCAAAAAGTCTTCTGGAAGTAGCTCACAGGTATAATCCTAAAATGATTATCTTTCTGTATTGATGTAGACATGTTGAACGAAATTATTATCACAAATGTGAAATTTTCAGAGTCTTGCAGTGCCAGAAAAGGGAGTGCGTTTAAGAAGACTGATGAAAGAATTTAGTGAAATTCAAAGAATGCAGCATAGAGACCCAACATTTACTGCCGAACTTGTTAACGATAATCTTTTCGAATGGCACATTAGACTATACAAAATTGATCCAGAAAGTGAACTTGCCACCGATATGAAGGAGTTTGGGATCCCTCATATTCTCCTGCACGTTGTATTTCCAGAAAACTTTCCGTTTGCTCCTCCGTTTATTAGAGTCATTTCTCCACGCATTGAAAAAGGTTTCGTGATGGAAGGTGGAGCAATATGCATGGAGTTACTCACACCCAGAGGATGGGCAAGTGCTTACACACTCGAAGCTGTGATAACTCAATTTGCAGCAAGTGTTGTCAAAGGCCAGGTAATTTTAACGAATACTATTGATTTTTGTTATTGTTGAATATGGTTATAAAAATTGTATATAAAATATTATTGTTACAGGGACGAATTGCAAGAAAACCAAAGACTAGTCATTCTGCTGCGTTCAACAGACGTTCTGCTGAGGAATCTTTTAGAAGTTTAGTCAAAACTCATGACAAATATGGTTGGGTCACTCCGCCATTAGCCGAAGGTTGAGTATCAATATTTTAAAGAGTGTACCTCAAGGATAGAGATTTTGGTCATCTCGTATTCCAACATCCATAGATTTTTAAGATAAAAATAATTAATATAAGAATATGTATTCTTAAACGTGTGCATACTTAGTGGTATTTTTAAAGAATCTCGACAAAAAATGGCGCAGATTAATTTTTACTAGACAATTTATACCATGAATAATACTAGTCTTTTAATTGAAAAATTAATTTTTCAAGCTGATTTTACGTTATCTTAATTTTATTAATGTAAATGTTGTTATTGTTGAGTTTTGCGCCGTTTTTATGAGCAATATTTATTTGCACGAAATGTCTGGATTATTAGACATCTTTTAATACCAAATATTGAGATTTAAAAAATAATATGTCATCCATGACTTACTTGAAAAAATTGAAATTGTAAAATTCTCAGATGAAAAATTGACTCGTAATGGACAGTATATTATTTTTCAATTAAATTATGTAATATTGCACTATTTCAAAATCAAAAGTCATACTTGCCGGTGTTTAGGGCATTGGACTCACAGTTTGTGTAATTTTTGAACAAAGTTAACATATAATTAATTAATGACGAGAACAAATAATTAACCATCAATAATATAGGTCGCGTACTGATAAATAAACATGTACTGGTTTTGCGTACATACTTATTTAATAGGTATCACGAATGAGAATTTGCGAAAAAATTATTGCGATTTGCAGTATTTTCTCAGGTAGATGATTAATATAAGGAAAATGCATCTCTGGAAAATACTTTAAAAAACCGATTTTTTTTTTTTTCATGTACCCACGTGAGATGAAATAATAAACTGATCTTCTCGTCTTTCGCGTGCACTTTTATTTTGTGCCCATAACATTTTTTTGAAATAATAATAACCAGTGTGTGGTAAGTTATCCCCGATGGGTATCCCCGATGCTTTGCACGACTTGCGCAGAATAACAAAAAGAGGGAACGAGTAATGCCCTTAAATTCAAAACCTGTGAATAATCTATAAACTACTGAATTCGTATAGCTATGCAAGTTTTAAAGGTAAAATATCGTGTAAAAACAGACGTTTGAAAATGATACAATTTTTATCGAAACCATCTAAGAAACTTGTAAAAATAAATGGAAAAAAAAAAAAAAGAATTCATACTCGCACTCGACTCAAAGCACATATTTTTGAAAATCTACACAGCGTCAGCCACGTGATTTTTGTACACGCGATAAAGCACGCAACTATTTGCTTGATCAAGTTTTAATTAGAAAAGAGAAACAAGCCACGCATCTAGTTGGGCGGAGGGCAAGGGGAGGGGCATTATCGGTCTTTCCCATGTACATGTATATACTTAAGCAGTGCTGCGCCGGCAGCCCCGATTGCAAAACAAATGCCGCAAGCTCTCTCCTGAGTCTCTATCGTATCTCGTCCTCCGTATATATACATATACACCTAAGGATATCCTACCGCACAGACAAACACCCTTTTCATTGTACGTCGTCACTTGCACTTGCTGATGCGGCACACACAAAACACTTCCTCCTCCCACGTCTCTCTCTTTGAATATCGCAGTCTGCAATTTCTTGCTTGCAAGCTCCGTCCGTATATACATACACCATCGGTTATCAATTTACGTGCGGTGCACCAATACTGGGTACCCTTTTTTCCCCCTCATTACGATATCTGGCCCTATAAACTAGTGAATTTCACCGTTTTAACTAAATCCATGCAATTTTCATTACTCGATCGGTTCAATTATAATTGAAAAAAAAACTCGTCTTTATCATGTAACTGTGATTTAAATACTACCTGTAATACATATTCGTATGCGCATATAACACGCATGTACTTATTGTTATTGTTGACATTGGCTTTTAATGGGTTTTCGATGTATGTCATGTGCGCTGTGTCTAATGCATTTGAGCGATTCCACGAAGAATCGTCCATCATGATGTATGGTTTAAAAAAAAAAACTTTTGATTTTGGTTTTTTGTTGAATGCTTGTATTGTAATTTTGTTGGAAATATCAAGAGATGAGTGATGGTAAAAAAAAAAAAAAAAATGACCGATCTCTGGTTTAATTTACAAAGCATAGGTGCTGCACTCTTTTTGGACTGTACTAAAATTGTAAAAGGTGTTGTTAAAAATTTCGATTAATTGAATTTTTTTTGGCCGTATTTTTGGGTCCGAAATCAAAATGCAAGCTCTGTTAGCGCGTTTATTGCTATTTAAATCATCCTCTGCTGCAGGCTACGCTGCATTTCTTCCAATTTTATAAAAATACTTTTTTTTTCTCACATTACAAATTAATGCGAAAATAAGTTTTCTATCAGACCTGAAAGCTTGACCTATGCTTGACGATTTTCTTCATAATATTGCATAGATGATGAAAAAAAAAAACAAAAAAAACAAAAAAAAACTGGACTCGAGCACAATTCTTTTATGAATTTTTTAATCACTCAAAAAAAAAAATTTAGATTTTTCACACACACACACACACGTTTCCGAGCTAGCGATATTTTAATTTTCACCGCTCATCGGCCTGAAGCACTGCACTGCACAGCACGCGTGCACCACGTATATAATCAAACAAAATGCAGCCACTTGATAAATCACGCGAAATTTCTGCGGAAGCTTATTAGTTTATCGAAATATCATACCATATAGGGTAACATACATACATGTGTTACATATGGGTTACATGTATTATATACAAGGGTAAGCCCGCAAAAGGCTAATTTTCGAATCCGCGTGTACACGTGTAAGGTATCTACACATGTACACACGTACCCTATATATACGTGTACTCTGGATTTTGGCCCGGAAGCTGAGACCGTCCGCATGCACTCATGCATGGCAATCAGCTAATGCGTTATACGGAATTACAAAACGCGTCCCTCTCCCCGTTATACATACAGTATAGCTGTGTGGTAACAGTAGGTAGAGAGAGAAGCTTCTCCTTTTTCTTCTTTGGCTGCACCAGGAGGACGAGGAGGACTAATCGGCAATCGGCACTCGCTTAATGGAGCACGATGAAGCCACTTCACTCCCTGTATAGTATATACAGACACGTGCAAAAAGGGACGGCGACGCTCGTATACTCTTCTCGCAAAACGCGGGGGAGACGACATTTATAATTGGCTTGTAAAAAAAAAACAAACTCTTCCTCTCCCAAAAAAAAAAAAAAAAATAATAATGCCGGGACGCGACGTCGGCAAATTACCGCCAAGTCAGGCACACGCACAATATGCGATACAGCGACATCGGGGGCTATTCTGTCGCGTCGCGAAATACATTCATCTCCGGCTAAAAACTCCCCTGCAGCGGCCGAATTTTTATTTATCGCCGTGTCGGGCTCCGACGCACGGATAAATAAACAATATACACGTATCGTGTACACCAGTCGGGCCAGTTTGTTATACGCTCCCCCCATGGCTTATTTGTTTCCCCTAGGCCAGTATCCATATATATACGAATAGTTGTTCTCAAAAATTTTATTATATACGAGCACGCGTGTATCCCCATAGTGTTTGTCCTCTGCGCGCGTCTATTTGTTAATTTTTTCGCGGCGCTCGCTGTGAAATTAAAAAACAAAAAAAAACTGCATTTTACTCTGAATTGCGTTTTGAGAGGATGCGATGAAAAACACCGAGCAAGCGGAGAAGAGAATATTGATTATCGGACGCGTGAGAGCGACTCGATGCGTACATCTATATATATACGATTTNTCCTATATATAGCCCCGCGTCTCCTAACGTGTGCATAAAAGATTCAACCTTAAAACGCCGGCGGAATTGGCCCCGCCACGCGGATCTCTGTCGCGTTTCTTCGCCTCCATTATGTGCCATTGTAGCACCCATGCGCGCACACTTACAATGCACCAGTATACCGTTCCGCCCATTCAAATATATATATATATATATATTTGAATGGGCGGAACGGTATACTGGTGCATTGTAAGTGTGCGCGCATGGGTGCTACAATGGCACATAATGGAGGCGAAGAAACGCGACAGAGATCCGCGTGGCGGGGCCAATTCCGCCGGCGTTTTAAGGTTGAATCTTTTATGCACACGTTAGGAGACGCGGGGCTATATATAGGAGAAAGAGAAAGTGTGACGCGCTGTACCCGTACTTTGTATCTTCTCTATACTGCTCCATTTGAAAATTCATGGGCCCTTTTAGGAGCGGTTCCTCCTTGTTTGGCTCTTTTTTTTTTTTCACACGCCCAATGGTTTCACGCGAAGCTGATTCCGATAGGGAATAACTGCATAATGAATTTGCTTTTGTGCCCCTCTGCTCTCTTGCACGAAAATTTATATCGGTACCGCAGCGAAAAATTTGAATTGCTCTCGCTGCAGCCGTCTCTGGGATTCCCCGATTTCAAAGCGGCTCGCCAGGCTTGAAACTTTTGGCACTCGGCGATACCGAGATTTTTGTTTTTTTACCCAACCATAACGCATCTTAGCAATTCATAAACGCTACGAGCTTTGACTTATGTACTTAATACGATTGTATTTTTCACCCGCATTGTTTCGCCTAATTTTTTGTTCGACTCCGACGTTCTACGCGTAACACATATATAGGTATATTCTAATGAAGTATACCTCATTTGTTTCTGTCTAGTCATACACCGTAAGTATATGTACACGGAGAGACAAACATTTGTTAATTCGTTGACAAAAATAAATTCAGCTGCGCTTGCACATAACATCGTTATATACATATATATATTTTTAAAGCAACAGTGCACTATGAACCAATACACAAACACATCATACATAATATATATGAACAGTCGCTCTCGCTAGACGCACATCACGGCAAATGTACTTTGTCTTATACGTGCAATGTATGTATAGGTGTATTTGAAGAGCATCAAATGCGTAGGTATAGAGCCTTTTCTATGCATATGTATGTATAATGGATGTAATTACATATATATATATACGTGCTCAATTAAACACTCGTGTTGATTGCGATGACTTTGCATGTGGTAAAGGCAGAGTCAAGCTGTGCTATACTCTCGAACAAGTTTCCTTCTGTCGTTTTCCGTGAACATCTCGTTCTTGTCGTTATACTTGAAAATTCTTTATAAGTAATAATTGCTCGACAGATTCACGAAATCCACTCGATCAGTTCAAAAATGTGTATGCACGAGCTTGTAAAAAGGACATTCTTTTTTTTATTTTAAATTTCGAAAAAAAAAAAAAAAAAAAAAAAGAAAAGAAATAACAATCGGCTACAGTATACCGATTTTTCGTTTCAAACGATCACCCTTGAAACCATCCCGCGCACTGCAGCATCATTAGCCTTGTATAACACCACCTCATACTCTGCATGGTGAAAAGATCGCGGAGCTTGCAGTGAGAAACATTGACTCTTGTATAAGTATAGGGGGTTTTCTTTATAAGTTGGTGGGGGAGGGGGGGGGGAGGGGCAATCAACGATTGAAAAATGCGTTGCGGAATTTAATGAAGCTGCTCGAGTAGGCGGCAGGTCGACAAAAAAGTTTGCCGAATAGCGGCTTCGACCGGAGGAGGAGGAGGAGTAAAGGGTGGGAAATTTATTCAGCGTGTCCCGTAGATGCGTGTGTATGTACGGGGGGGAATAGTCACAGCCTGGGGATAGCGAACGTGCAGGCGCGCAGGGATGCAGCTGTAGGCCCATGGTGTGCTGCAGCATCCACAGATGGTCAGTCCGTACGTAAACCGGCCCCCAAAGCTCCTAGGGTGGCGAGCTTGCAAACATACATAGGTATAATCGAAAATCGACTGGCCTCTGCTTTACGATAAGTGCCGTCCACTGCTTATCGGCCTCTTCACTCCCCCTCCCTCGTGCTGCGCAGATCTAATATTTAACAGAGGCAGTGTGGAAAGCACACATGTATTATTTGTAATATATTGTATTGGGGACTAGATACCTTGTTATACATATTCCGGCAAGTATAAC